AGCTTTTACATTTCTGGAAATCTGGAAAGAAATTTGGTATTTTTATATATTTAAAAACCATTTTCTCTGAAGAAAAGAGATCTTCAGTAGTTGAGCACTTTAGTAGTAAAGGTTCCAACTGCCATCTTTCCTAGAGAAGAAGCCAAACCTCTGTAACTGCATGGCCTACTTTGCTTCAGTGTAGTCAAGACAGGAAGTTGCAGCAAGGTCATGAAATAGAGTCACAAACACATTCACGTCATACCTAGTGCCATTGGGGAAAATTTCCAGACGCGTTTAGCACTCTCAGAGCTTTTGTTCGATACAAAATAAAACTGCATTTTATCAGTTAGTTTGTGAATATATGTTTGTTCCATTGCCACCTCTGTTAAACATGCCCCTCATTCTCACTCTCTTTGTCAAGAGAAGAGAAAAATGTAAGGAATTTGTGCTGGGGGATATGGGGGTAGTAATCTTAAAGCAACTGCACTTTAAAAGAAAGTGAGAAAATGTTTATCTTCAGATTTTACTTTTTTCTTTTGGGGACAAGAGTTCAAAGACATCAGCATACAGTTGTGAGTTGATATACACCATGCGGGAAAGAAAGTCATTGAACCACAAAGTCATGGAGAATGGCATTTCTCCATCTGCACTGGTGATAATGCGTTTCCTATAACCACACCACCCCTTCCCTGAAGACAGAAACAGCCCCCACATGTGATGGGATCCTTTTGGTTGGCAAGTGGGATGTGAGTGAGAAGCCCTTTGAATATAAGGCATCAGTTCTCACTTTGGAAGGTCTGGCTTACACAGCCACCCCAGCCAATCCCACACATTCTCACGATCACCAAAAGGAGAAATTCATAGAGTGTTAAAATAAGAAGAAACTTTGTAGACCACCTGTGTTTTTTTTCTTTCATGGAGAAAATGAAATCGTTGAAAGATGTCATTTATTATAGGTGAAGATTTATAACAGAACTACAAATTCTGAAATATATAATGTCTTGTATGTGATAGCACTTTATAATTTAGGAAGCATCTTCATGCCCAGTCTCACCTCCAGTTCTCATAGCAAGTCACTGAAATGTGACTGATTTCCACTTTACAGACAAGAAAATTGAGGCTTCGAGGGGCTAAGGTAAATTCTCTAGAACAAAAGAGACAGCAAAAATTGAGGTGAAATTGAAATTGTGATATTCTGAATAATAAACCACAGCTCTTACCTTTATATTGTATTGCCTCTCAAAAAATTTCACCGGATTAACCCCTGTTTGGTGTTTGTTATTATAAGACATTCCAAAAAATAATTTCATAAGATTTCCTTGAGTTTCTAGGAAAGCAGCAGCACGGAGTTTCCACTGAGTGCAAAACTGCATGGGAGTAAACATAAAATAGCTGTTAGTACTGTTTCTATCACAGGAGAAGGATAATACAGATGGGGACACCAGACAAATACACATTAAATAAACAAAGAACAATTCAAAGGGGGCCACAGCTAAGTACAGAGTGGTTATGGCAATATTTGATATAAAAGTTAATAGAAGGGAGTAATGATTAAACCTAAAGAAATCAGGAAAGGCTCACAATGATTCTAAGAAAAGGATAAAAAACTAGGACCTCTGCAGCATGTAAACCTTAGCACAAAAACCCAGCATTACCAGCCTGTGACTTTTGGTAAGCCATTTAAATCCTCCAAACCTCCATTTCCTCATCCACAAAATGTGATAACTCCTGTATCTGAGGGTTGTGGTGAGGACAAAATGGAATAAAATATGAAACCCTTAGCATAAGACTTGAAACAGAAATATTTCTATAAGGCTTTAATAAGCATGTGGAATTGAGACCGACCTGGCTGGAAGGGGAAGACATTAGGGGCAGGTTCCACTTGGCTCATGAAGCAGAGAACACAGCTGTGACCTCTGTGCCTGGCTTTGGCATGCTGCTCAGCCAGCCGCAGTTTGCTTGAGCTGACCCTGGCAGTCTTGGAGGACACTAACAGAGAGGTGTGAAACGCTCTAGGCTGATTGTCACGCCAAAGCTGTCAATATTTGTAAATGAGTGCTTTTAGAGCTTAGGAAAAGCTCAACCCTTGATTTATAAAGGAAAATAATGGAATGCTCTGAAACCAAACATCAATGCTTCTGAAGCAGTGATGGCTAGACACAGAAAGTAATCTGGCTCCTATGAGAATGACAAAAATTTTCCTGGTGACATGAACAAATCTCCAGGACAGATTCTTTGTTTTCTTGCAAGTGATCACTTAGCCTTCTTGGTCATACTAGTGCAGTTAAAATACCTATTTGAGGGCCGGGCGCGGTGGCTCAAGCCTGTAATCCCAGCACTTTGGGAGGCCGAGGCGGGTGGATCACGAGGTCAAGAGATCGAGACCATCCTGGTCAACATGGTGAA